GCCAATTCGACATACCCGGAAATGAAGATATTTGAAGGAAAGGTTTTTTGCCTATTGAAACTTGTTAAAAATGTCTTTATTACTAGTTACATTGAAATTTTGAGATTCTAATTCAAAGTCCCTTCCTGTAAGTATTGGAAGCACTCGGCAGTAGCCTGGCCGATAGGAAGTACTATATTTTTAAACATATCAAATTATTTACCGGATACAAAACATCTAAGAATGCCGGCGCAGCCCATAAATTTTGCAAAAAATCATGCCAATAAATTTAGAAATAATTTTTTCTTTTTTCGCGAATTTTTTGATGAAAAAAGGGCTTTTTTGTTAGAAACTCTAATATTTTGCCATGGATGCAACTGGGAACTTCCCCATTCCTACACACTTTTTCGAAAATCAGATGTTTTATTTACTTTGGCATTTTGTTCAACTACGTTCATTCGCATTCTGTTTCCCCACCTGTATTCAGTGTTGGCAATTTTTGCGAGCTGTTCTGATCATTGTGTTGCACCACGCTTAGTGGTTAGCTGCTACTGTCGATCCCGGCATGCGAAGGTGATTACTAATTTTTCGTAAAATCATGGCGGGGAACTTGAAAACAATTTTTTCCCTCTTTTTTGCGAATTTTTTAATGAAAAAAGTGCTTTTTGATAAAAACTCAAATATTTCGCTTCAGATGCAACTGGCAATTTTCCCATTTTTTTGCGGTTTTCCGACAGAAATACTTTACAAATCCACCGGTCGTTTTGAGAATCCGTCGATGTGCACTGAGAGTATCACCACTTTGTCTCGAATACTGCCATTCCTGTGCCAAACGGTATCGTCAACGATTTGGAGGAGGAAGAGGTAAAATATGAGCGAGTCTATGTTTATTCCTTGAAAATTTATTACTTGTTTCTGACGTAAAATTACAAGGTATTTATTGTATATTTTGCTGCATCTTTCCGTGTTTCATATCGCTTTTGCTGTTTACCATATTTCATATTTTTTGATTTTTTTTTAGGCTTTTCTTATTAACTATGCGATTTTTGTGCCTTCTTCTTATGCTGCCCCTCAATTTCACTTCAGGTTTTATTGCTTTTTCTCAACAAGAGCACTTACAGTTTGTGTATTGTGAAAGATTATAGTAAAGGAATTTTTAACGGTGCCAAAAAATTACTTGCTCTTATAACATTTCGTAAAATCAGTTACTCGGAAATACTCGTAAAAGCGGTGAAGCCCTTTCCAGCTCAGGCCCTTGGTTTACCTTGAGGTTCAGGATTTCCATACGAGAATTTCAACAATTAAATAATATCACAGTCAACTGGGCTGGAAAGTTTAACGTAACATGCGTTCAGAGAGGCCATTTTTGAGATATCGAAGAACGCTTGTTCGGTCAAACGCCTACGCAAAACAGTGGCCAGCC